TGCACAGTAGGCCTGCGCAAGCCGGGCGGCCCAAGACCAACTCGTTTATTGCACCACGGTTATCTCGGGCGGTGCGTCGGTTCCAATCCATTAGGAGATTTTAAGCATGGGAACGAATTGCCCACCACCACCAACACCACCAACACTACCAAATGCTGCTCCAAAGAATCCAATAATAGAACCCACAACAATTTGCCAACCAAATTTCATATCCTGCAGGAAACTCCAAATTTAGACTTAACTCAAAAATTCATCAGGATCCCAAAAGAATGCACATAAAAAAAAAAAAAAAAAAAAAAAAAACTAATACTATTGTTGGTTACTGACAAATGGGTCCCATTGCATTGAGAATTACACAGTAAGAGCTTGTGAGAAATTTTGCTGCATAATCATTTATCTTCACATGGAAGAAGCAAAACAAAATCCATAACAGTATAATTACGACGACTATTAATGAAAAGCATGCTCAGAAGGCAATTATTTACATGTCTAAGTCAAGTCAAAAGCATGGATGGAAGAATAAAACTTACAGGCCAAACATGTTGATAGCCAGATTTATCAGGTTGCCATAAGAAATTTATAGCTTTGAGGAGGAAGTTGGATTGGGTTTCTTCCATATCACTAGCAGATCCTAAGGTTTGACTTTTTAGGCTCCTCTCAGCCGAGACAAAGACCAAAGCTAACGCGAAATTGAGGGTAATCATCGATAAAGATCTGAAAACCCGCCATTTTGACCCGAACTCAGCCATCGATTTCGAATTCACCACTTTCCACCAGGAATCTGTCTATCTCTTTCTGAAATTCGAATTCAAAAATGGACACCGATGAAAGAAAAGTTGAAACCTGGGTAAGGTAATAAACCAAAAGTGTGAAGCAGAGCAGATCGCAACACCTGCTGGATTCTATAGAAGGATAAAAATAAAATAAAACAAAGTGTACAAAAACTATTTTAGAACGAAAACAGAGCACGTGAATTTGTTTGGTTGCGGAGAAGAAAGGAAACAAACTGGAAATATTACAAAACTGAAAGTTTCAGCCTTTTTGAGATTGGCAGTTCGGGGAGAAGAATCGCACCAGAAAAGCTGAGTGGGAAAAATATAAAATTTTCCGGGAAAGGAGAGGAAAAGGCCAGAAAGCTGAGAGCTTGAAAGGAGAAACCCACCTGCTCAGAGGTATGAAAAAATGCTTACATACATACATACATACATATACACTCTCTCTCTTTGATGAAATTGGCTCAACCCCTCAACCTGCCTCTCTCATATTTTTTTTTAGTTCCTCCAATTTACAAGAAAAATATATATACATATATACATGATTATTTGAAGAAGCTATTTGAACCCCTTTTTTAAAAAAGTTTATACCGCTATTAGTTTAAAATTATTAGAACTAATCTCCACCAAGTTAAATATTTTGTGATTTACATAAGATGTTGGATTTTAATAGTTTTTTTTATTACGTTATAATTAATGAATAAATATATATATTGATTAAAAAATTATTTAAATTAACTAATTATTAGATTAAAAATTTATAATTTTGAAGTTGAATTAAATATTTATTAAATTATCATCTGAAATCTAGTCAAAAATATCAATCCAAACATCACCTAAATCGTGTTCTCTTTCTTTTTTTATTTTTCTAATAATGGAATCGTGTTCAATTTGAGTGGCCAGTGAATGACGTGTGCTGTTCATCCGTAGTTTATAAATTTATTGTAAATATTATATTTTTATAAACAAGTGGTTGTATTTTTATTTATTTTTTAAATAATTTCGATTGCCCATTTGTCTTTTTTCATAATATAAAATATTTAGACGATTTAGACAATTATATATATATATATATATATACACACACACACACATGAGTGTGGCTCAGATTCCTTGCATCTATTGGTTGTTGTTATCCTTATTTTATTTTTGTAAGTTGACTAAAAATTATATGGAGAAAATGGAATCTCTACTCAATCATATAGCTAAAATTATTCAATTAAATTTATCAATTATAATAACTTTAAAATTTTGATACTAATTAATGATAAATCATTTATATGCTAATATGCATATTTACTCCATCTCTAATAAGTATATTTAATATTTAATAAATACACGATAAAAATATTATCATCATTGTTTGAATAAAACAAATTTTTTCTTAATTAAATAATTTTTTTTTTTTAAATGATCTTCCTCCTCTAACATCAAAACTGTCTTTTACTTGTTATGCATCAACCTCTGCAATTTCAAGACCACGAACATATAAGGTAATGTGTTATAGTGCATTGCGACATCCGCAATATAGAAATAGGGTATGCATATATTAATTTTATTATTTTTATTGATTATTTAAAAATTATATAATTGAATAAGTAAATTAATTTTATTTTCTATTTTATTCTTTAAAGTGAATCTATACTAAAAATATCTAATAGTTTTTTTCTTTTCTTTACAGAAAATCAGAATTTAATTAATGACTTCTTATTATTTTAATTAAAAAAATTAAACTTTAAAGGGAAATATAATAAGTAAAAGGTGCAAAGCTTTAGTAATATTGTCATATCCCACTTTCCAAACCTCCTTTTTTTTTTGGGAACACCACGACAAAGATTTCATCCTGTCCGATTATTTATTTTTTTACCGATGAATTAATTACTTATTTATTAAAAAAAAAAACATAACAACATATTTTTGTAACTAATTCAATTATTAACACAACCTTAACTATGTATCTACATAATTAATCTCATAGTTTTACCCACCCAAAATGAAGTCTTCTTTTTACAATGCTTTCATAATTTATTAGGCCTTTTTCTTTCTCTCTCTCTTTTTTTTTTATACCATTTTATTTATAAATAAACTAATAAAAAATATTATTATATTAAAATATAGTCACATTATCATTTATACATATCACTACACCATTTAGAAGTATAGGTCAAATGAAGTTTGTTAAGAATGTTCCTTGGTCTGAAATTAAACTCGATTCTTAACTAAATAGGATAGAAAGTTCGGACTCGAAAATTATATTATTTTTATTTCAATCCAAACATTTTTGTTCAAATTCTTTTTTTTTTAAATCATGTAACGACTCCCGAAACTCCAAAGGCGATAAATTGTAAATTTAGTGCGGAAGCGAAATAAATAGTTAGGATTTACATTCATTACACAATAATTCAGATTACCCAATAAGGTTACGAAAATGACTATTTTAAAAGAAATAACAAAAAATTAAAGAAATAAACGAAAAATAAGCAACTGGGTATCCTACTCGCAACCCTCTTACGGATCGAGCTTCGGATCCTGATCCTCTTCATATGAAATAGTTCAAGAAAAAATGAGCTACACTAACCTAGTAAGAACATCACGTTACTCACCGACACAGAAATTAAGATTAGTAGAAATCATCAAAATAACTAATGAAGCTCTTAATTTAAGTAAATTCGTTTATCATAAATAAAATCATTTATCGCATATTTACCGTAGCGAGATTTTCAAAAACAACCTATAGAGTCAATAACATAACACATACCATAACTTCATATACAACCAATCGAAATAACAACCTTCCCTTTTATCAGCATACTGGTATCCGTGATGGTTCATTGGGATGTCTCCACTACGTGAACTTTTTTTTAACGTTTTCAATTAACGGGTCGTTCCCATACCCCATTCGGTATGAGTGCCAAAAGATAATATCCATTAATATCTCATCTAGTATGATGGTGAAACGGGTCGTCCCCATACCCCGTTCGGTATGAGCACCAAATTACCAAACTTCGATACCCCGTCCGGTATGAGACAAATTCACAATAGGGTTCCTTATGTACTTGGTCTGTTCACCATCTTCCAGAATATCCAGTAAGGCTGTCGTTCATCCATCCACGTAATCAAATAATTTTCCTTTTTTTTTTAGTTTTCAGTTTTCTAATTCAACCGTAATCATATAAAACAAGCAATACATGCATCAAAGGAGTACAATCGCATCATCATACCAATTTCAGTGTATTATCATGCATTCGAAAACTCTAAAATCAGGCAATCGCTTAAACATAACAATCAATAATAAATAACTGGTTTCAGCTCTATTAGTAACTTATAATTAATTATTAATATTTTTTAAATTTCACAAAATACCATATTATTTAGAATTAAACTTTAATTCTATAATAGGGAATAAGGTGAGAGATTTTTACTCAAACTGATATCCAAAATGCTAACTTTTGACTGCGCCTACTAACGGTCCCTGGGTTCCCAGAATTTTTTTTCGAGAATTAAAACACGCTTCAAGTATATAGAAATATCCTAAAAAAAACCCAAAATTAGTGTTAGAAATCTTTTTTTGCCAATTTTAGAATTCCGACACGGGGGTTCCGCCGTGCTCCAGCAACGGCATCGCTGCTCGCGGCGACAGTTTGCCTCGGGTTGGATATTTTTGGACTTTTTTGGCTGAATTCAGCTGATTTTGTATCAATCCTTGCGAGAAAACACGTTAAGAGATATTTGTTGGATGAAAAAAGTCAAAAAATCGAAGCTTATCAGCGACGGGGTTCTCCAGTGCGGTGGCTCCACCGGCTCACCTTCGCAGTTGGGTGTTTTACTTCGGTCAACCTACAGATAAAGGAATGGTGATTACAATGGTAGAAAAATTATACGAAACGGGAATCAGGAAGGGCCTCATCGGATATGGTTTTTGCCTTTTCCTGCGATAGCTCCGTTGGGCTTTGCCCGTGTTTTTCAGCTCATATACCGGTCTTTTTACTTCAATTTTTCCATTAGGGTCTTCAAAATTGAATTTCGAGTAAATAAAGAAAATTTTACCTCTTTTGGTGGTCGAAAGTGGCTCCGACGCGGTGGTGGGCGGCTTTCTTTTCGGCGGCTGGCTCTTCTTCTCCGGCGGGGGTGTTTGGCGGCTAGGGTTAGAGTTTAGTGTGATGAGGGTTATTTATCTCTGTCTCCTTTTAATCTGGACCGTCCATCGCATTTGATCTGTACCGTCTGATCGTGATTAAATATGGAGTGAATCTGTGTTGTTTATCGCGATTTGATCTGAGTCGTCTGATCACGTTTAAATAGAAAGTAGATTTGGATTGTTCATCGCATTTAATCGTGACCGTCCGATCGCGTATGAGGAGGGAACAGATCCAGACTGTCCGTGCGCGCGAATAAATCCGGACCGTCCGATCGCGTCATGCGGATTGCCAGCATGGCACTGCGTAAAGCACGCTTCGGTTTGTCGGAACTGTTGACTGGGCGTCCTACGTACCGTAATTTTTTTAAATTACGTTTTGATCTCCAGTTTCTGATTTTTCTTTTAAAAACACTCATAAAATCCAAAATTTTACCATTTTTTTTTCTAAAATTATTTTCAATTTTATCCTCTATTTAATTTTCTTCATTTTTACCTTAAATAAAAATTAAAAAATTAAAAAATTATATTTATTCATTAATCAAGAAATTACAAATCAAATTTTATTTTATTTTTTCGTTCGATTCATTTTAATATATTTTGTTCGGTCTGGTTTAAAAATTAGATAGAGGTTTTCTACTTTTCTATTCATGGACCCAGAACTTGATCAGACAAATTAGTTTAGTTAAATTTTTTAGTTTTGACCAAATTACGAGCACCTCTAGAATTCATACATATATATCTATATATATTTTACATATAATGTAACAGCCCCAGAATTTAAATGAGGATGTATGTATTGAAAATCTTAAATGCGGAAGCGTAACAAAAATTTTGATTAACATCCCTTACACAATAACAAAAAACGTACTCAAAATATGAAAGAATAAGCTAATTAAAAGAGATACTCGAAATAAATACTATAAATAGAACTATAAAGTCTTTAGGCGTCTAACTCGCCGTCTTCCTGCGGAGCGGGCTCGGGAACCCCGTCTTCCTGATCTGAAATAGTTAAGTAAGGGATGAACTACACTAGCCCAGTAAAGACATCACACTATCTCACTGCCACAGGAGTAAAGATCGGTAGAAAACAAAAACAACCAATTGAGCATAATTTATAATAAAATCATTTATTAACATAAAAATCTTTACTGTCCACTTACCTCGGTGGGATTCATGAAAATAACATATGAAAACAATAACATTATAACCATCATAAAATCATATCGACTTTGTAACAGAACACATGTCATACTTTTGCACTTCAATAATCAGACAATAAATTTCCTCTTTTACCAGCCTACTAGTATCCATGGGGATCCATAGGGGGTCTCCGCTACACGTGAACTATTAACATTAATAACCTGATTCCAAGACCG